GAAGACTTCTTGAGATACTTGAGTCGCTCACCAAAATACACAGTGTCTGGGGGAAAAGAACCTTGAGTGAGCTTCAGTGTGCAAAGTCAAGAGCATTACCTGGAGCCAGATAACACCCTCTGGATGTCAAAGTTAGGGTTGAATGGCAGCTGGTGGGCTGCTGGGATGGTAATGTACCCCGAGTGGCTCCAGAGACCACTGCTGATGGGTACAGCCTCTGGCACTCAACTTGGGCTGCTCACATCAGGATCTTCCACAGCAGCTTATGGTCCTCTTGGACTGTTTACCAGTCACATCTTGAGACTGAATGCACTTGATGTACTTTGGTTGACCACTTGGGGTTTGTCTCTAGCTTGCTTTACGGAATCTGAGTTTAATTAAGGTATATTGCCTGAAATAAAAATGATTGACTGCCTTAAAAACCTTGTTTATTACTTCTACAGCATATTTAGTGAGATAGATAATACACCTTAACGCCGATTGCGATGATAAGCCTCTCTCTACTTTAGATGCAAACTCAGAAGCACATTGCATCACCCAGCTCTGGGGATTTATTGTTCTCTTAAAAGACCATGGAAGTCCAAGTGCAATGTCACAACTCAGCAGCAAAGGTCATACTTTCCCACTTACGCAGGAGCAGTGGCTCCAGCTGGAACACATATGGCTTAAAGGTGAACGGTGCCATCTATAGAAGTAGATAAAATAATTACTCTTACATTTACATTTTAAGGGCCTCTGAGGATTATAAATCTATATGCTGCAAACAAAACATTCCGCCGCCTGTGTCAACAGCAGCACATTTTGTAATTAAAAGGGTTCACCTTTCTAAATTGAATTTGTGTGACATTGTTATTAGTGGGGTTTTAGCTGCTGCATTTTTTCTCAGTTTGGGGCATAAGAATCAAGTTGGTTTGGAGTTTATTGATAATCTGGTTCCATTTTGGGTTGTGATATGCTTCTGTCAAGTTGTGAACAAATGCTTAGGATATTTCTTTGCTTGGGAAAAGATATTTATGGAAGAATTTTTGAGCAGACCATTGGAAAATACTCATTGGTCTTGAAGTTAAAAAAGTTTTTAGATAAAAAGTTAATATAGGGTCATTTTAGAATAACTTACTGGTGCTAGTCCTTTGACGAAGAATGCTGGACCCACTTAAAGGGAGGGTCTCAAGAGGATGGGGCCAGGCTTTTTTCAGTGGTACCCAGGGACAGGACAAGAGGAAATGGGCACAAACTTGAATATAAGAAGTTCCATCTAAACATGAGGAGGAACTTCTTTCCTGTGAGGGTGGCAGAGCCCTGGAAGAGGCTGCCCAGGGAGGTGGTGGAGTCTCCTTCTCTGGAGACATTCAAAACCCGCCTGGACACGTTCCTGTGCAACCTGCTCTGGGTGGACCTGCTGTGGCAGGGGGTTGGACTAGATGATCTCCAGAGGTCCCTTCCAACCCCATATCATTCTGTGATTCTGTCATTCTGTGGTCCCTACCTGCACAGGGTATGATGGGCAACAGAGATGGGCAACACCTGGTGTGGCTTTGAAAGCTGTGCTCTTCTCTGCAGTCATGAAATCCTAAAATGAGATCTTAGGAAACGTGTTGTGGAAAGAAGTGGTTGTCATGAAATACGTGCTTCTGATTTTGCTGTAGCTTGTGGTCTGGTAATGATTTGAGACCTCGAGCTTGAGTTTTCCCTAAAAACCTCATAGCGGTTTGTAAACGTCCCCCTTCCTGTCCTTGAGAGAGGTTATTTGTAGTTTGAGGAAGGCCAGCTGAGAAACAAAGCCCCAAGATGCTGCTTCTCATTATTCCAGGATAATCCTCCTTCCAGCTGGCTGGGACCGAGCGAGTGGGGTGGCAGGGGGTGGCTGGGGAGCCCAGAGCAACAGTGGGTCTCTGCTGACAAAGGCGGGAGCCATGAAGAAGAAGAGATTGACTCGGCTTGTTACGGGGAGAGAAAGAGGCAGCACTTTCCCGGGTGGGTTTCTGGCACAAGCACATCTCTCTGGCTTAGTGGTTTAATGTTAGCACTCAGCCTCCTGAAGCTTAAGAAAAGTTACAGTCTCATAATTCAGGCATCTCTTATTTATGCTGTTTCAAACACAGAAAGGACCTTGTTCAAGAGCTGTCGTTTAAAAAAAAAACACCCAACTCTTTTGTTTTAATGATGAGAGCCTGGGTTATGCCTTATAAGTGTCCAGTGTGCAAATGAAGGGCCGCCCCACATAAATTTCCCATCTCACGAGTGCTTTAAAATCAACCATACTGATAGTGTTCCCTATGGTCATTTTCCAAGCAAGTAGAAAAATTTTCCTTGCAGATTACAGCCCCGAAATTTTGGAAATACAGTATGAGCATAGATTGGGGGAGATCTGGATATAAGCTGAGAAACGGTGACTGTTGCAGATGGCTGATTTATAATATAGGGCAGCGCGTGTGTGCATTCTCTATGCTTTTTCATGGGACATATGCTCTAGGGTTTTACGGTTGAATTTGTAGTCTCTAATAATTTACAATTTCCACCACAGTTTAAAATATCTACATCATTTTCAGGTTGATGATTTTTCCCAGTCATTTATCCCAAAAGCACTTTGTCTCACTTAATCTGGGTCATAATTGGCATGGGACTCGCGCGTAAGCAAACATAGCCATAAGTTGTGTTTCAATGGGCTATTAATGTCAGGGATTTAGTTACGTGCAGGAAAAATAGATCAGAGGTTGGAATAAGTATAAATGTTCAAATAACTGATGAATGCAAGGTCGCTCTCATGACTCGGACCCAGGAGACACTCTTGAACACTTACACGCTCCTGCTATTAGCAAGCAGCTGCCTTCGGCTGTAACGAAGATGTAAGGTTGGAAATTGTTGGCAAGAAAGCTGTTGGAATTGGATTTTATTTACTGCAAATCAACAGGATGTCTTTGCAAGTATAAAAGACATACGGAAGAGTCCACTGTTATCGTTGTACTTCGTCGTGTCTCCAGATGTTCTGCCTCCTGCCCCACTCTGGAGCTGAAAGCGGAAAACGGGTTTTCATTGTTTTTAGCCTGACGGTGCTAACATCTGCCTTGGCATTTCCCTGGGGAATGGTATTAGCACTTCTTCAATTTTCTGATTTATCATTTATGTCTCATTAGATGTATTTTTTTTTTTAAGTAAAATAATGTAAGAGCATGAAGTTTCAACCCTTGGTTTAATTCTTTTTGAGAGTGTGAAAATGAATCAGGGGAAACAGTTGAGTGGCCACTGAGCTCTTGTCAGCTGCCTTATTTTTAAGGGGCTATAAATGAGGCATTAAAACATTGGTCTGACCTGGTATTTTCCGTTGAAAGAAATAGTATTTGTGTGCTCAAACACACTTGAAGATCTCAATAAGCTTAAAATAGCTCTATTTTTTTAACATACATTTAGTCCTTCATTATCTCACAGCATGGGCTGTGCTGTACTCTGGGGGAAGGAGAACAAAATGAGTGTCTTCATTTGGAAGTTCTCTTTGTTGCTTATGTATGTCTCTAGTTCTTCCTATAATGGTATTGTAAACATTTCAGTTCCATAGTTTTGAACATGTTTATTCATCCACTTGATGGGTGTGTAACACTTATGAAGTTGACCCAAATTTTCACTGCTGAAAAGGGTGCTTTTAATAGAAATGCAAAAGAGAATAGTTCTACCCCCCCACCATTCTTCTGTACTCTCTTTGTCAAAAACTAGCTGCACAGAAGCAGATTTTATTAATTTTTCAGTACTTAAATCTAACCTTTCAAAAAGGGATAAACTGTGGAGAAAATTTGGGCCTAAATTGTGAAATAAATGTGTCTAATACTAGATTCTTACCTATGGTTCATTTATAGCAGGCTCTTTGTGCATTTTTCACAATAGCTAGAAGGATGGGGCCAAATCAGTGACTACAGCTCCTAGGTGATAATAGTAGAAATTTTAGCAAGGTCAGTCCAAGTGTTCTGGTGGAATCTGTTTGGCCCGAGAGACTTCAAATAATTCTTTAAGATCTCACATTTTCGCTTGCTTCTTTGTTCCTTGGAAGTTGTTTGTTTGGTGACTTGCTTGGTTGCAATTATTTACAGTTCACTGCTGGTTTTTTGAGAACCTAGCAAGAAATTCCACAGACAACTGCAAAATATATCTTTAATCAATTTTAGGAAGACCGATTCCCTAACTAACGTATTTCTTCTAGCTGAGACACAACATAAGCTCTGCTGCGGACAGTGGGGGAGAAAGTCTTACTGAGAAAACTATCCCTCTCTTGGATTGCTGTAGTGTCAGCATCGTGTGGTTCAGGCTAATCTGAGAGTTGTAATTTATGTACATGGGCCCTATCAGTATGGTGCCATCTTACACCCTGATTGCTTTTTTATTAAGAAATATCTTGTGCCATTTTTTAAACTTCTCAGGATGAGTCTGTGAGAGCTGACGTTGCTGGTTATGTTTTTTCTGTATACATCTATAAGCAGAAATAATAGAAGAAGGAGACAGTATTTTTTCGTGCCAGTTTTAGAGCAGCAATATTCTATAGGCAAATAACATCGTTTGTTTTTTCATCATTCAAATGGTAATAGTGTAAATATTGCTGATACGGTTAGATAAGTTGGTGTACGAGGAAATAGTAGCATGTTTCTATTAGAGTTTTGTCTGCAAAATGAAAAATTCTCAAGTGTATTGGGATTAAAACAACCCATACAGATCAGAAGTTTTCAGATCCACGAGGTCTGATTCAGGCTTATCTCTTATTTCTGTAAACCTAATTTGTGTGCAAATTTTGTGCAGAAGATTGTGTACGGCAACAATTCCACTGTGGATTCACTTGAGGTAGAAGGGCAGAAAGGTTTTATTGAACTAGGACTTTTCTTCTAATTTTATTGAAATGTTCGCTTGTTTTGTTGTTGAGGTAGGAATTAAATCTAATTTGCCACTTAATTGCGAGTATGTATTTATTTGTTTTCCTTTGCGCTCATGCAAATTTCCTTGTTTCCCTTCTGTCTTTTCAGGTCAGGATCGCAGTGAAGCCACTTTAATAAAGAGGTTTAAAGGTGACGGCGTCCGATACAAAGCAAAACTGATTGGGATAGATGAGGTTTCTGCCGCACGAGGAGACAAGTTATGCCAAGACTCCATGATGAAGCTCAAGGTGCAGTGAAACTTTTAATGTTTAATATTATGGAGTCGAGGGGAGAGAATTTCAGCTTGAACTTTTACTCATTCTCCTTTCGTGACACTCAGTCACACTCTGGTTAATTATGTATTGAAATCAGTCAATTTTACATGAACCCCTGGCTGGTGGTGCTTATCCCAGTTTAATTTTAATACATTATCTCTGAGTTTGGTAGTTACTCATGATTGACATCATTGCAATTTGTCCACAAAATTATAAACAACACATCTGCAAATTGAATAATTTTATTATGCAAAAGAGGAGGCTTACCACTATGAAGAAAAGTGGTGTATCAGAGCATTTTATATAACAGTGCTAATCATCTACAGCCCTGACTTTGACCATTATATCCTGTTGGGAAAAGCAGGAGAGGGTGAGGGACGTTGTGGGGTGCAGGTAGCCAGAAGCATCCTTTATTTGGCCCTGGGAAATGTGGAAGAGCTGGGGTGGTTGAGGAGGAAGGATAGATTGTGTTTTTCTTGTGCGATGTTGGCTGTCAGCTTCCCATCTGCATTGCAGGGTTAGGTCTAGGAGTAAACCCTCCACAATCTTTTTCCCATTTTTTTCCTTCCAGTCCTCTCCCCAGCACTCTGCCGAGATTGCTGATGGACTTCCTATTGCTATTTTTTTCAGGAGAAGAAATCACTAAATAGCATCTTTTACACTACCAAGTAGCGGGGTTCCAGTCCCAAGGAACTGGGAGGAACAGGTGGTTGTTCAGGAATAAACAGCAAAGGGTGACGTGATGATACGGTTCAACGCTCTAAAAGCAAGATCTGGTAGACAATTTACAAATCAATTATGAACATTTTATGACAGGCAAGGGCCAATCTGTTGTAAAAGGTACACAGTTGATTTATCACATCTGCCACGATATTCCTACCTGGTTTAATTGTATACGGGATATTCCTCATCATTTCATAGTTCCTAGAAGCACCTTGGGAGAGTCATCACTGTTCTGCACAAGCCTTTTTGTCTCTCTTTTCCATGGGTCACCATTTCTGCATCCCCCAGCTGCCCCATACCTGTTTGCAAAGGGGCAAGACTAATCTGAACAGCACTGGGAGATGAGTAAAACTATTAAAGGAAAGGAGGGTTAGAAATTCCTGTTTGTGTGGAAGGCAGCATAGCGTGAAGCTGTGGGCTCTGGAAACTTAGTGTCTGGCCATGAGTTTTAATGCCAGGCATAAAGTTTTGACAAATGACTCCATTTGACTATTGACGAATGACTCCATTTTTTTTTTCTCTTTCATTCTCATGTCTGTGTAATGAGAACAACGACCTCATGAAGGTCTTAAAACATAAGTTAGTGGTTTTTAAAACATGTTGAAATTACAGAGCACCAGATAAAGGCTCAGTATTTTTGTTTATTTACCAGTGCGATTATTATATTTGATCTTATGTCCTGAGAAGGTCATGAGAAGGTCGTCTTAGGTCCTGAGAAGGTGGAAATAGAATTTACTATTATACTTATGCTGTGGGACAATAATATGAGATGCATATCAGCATGTTAATTTATGAAGTACAAGTCTGAGATTAGGAGAAAAAACTAAGCCTCGAACCATACCTCTGCTATAAAAAACTGATATTGATTTTGAGAAGAATATTCTTTTATAAAAAGCTCAATTTGCTTATTCCGGGTAAACATGCCCATGAAGTAAGCTAAAGTTGGTGGGTTTTTTCCTCCACTGCTTGTTGTGGTTATGTTTCATGGAAAAAAAAAAAAGAAAACAAAACAGCTTATAGCTGGGAAAAGTGTGCTAGAAATGACCTTCAGCTTCCATGAAAACAAATTTCATGGAGGATTAGCTAGTGCAGGGGTTGGAAGTGGGAGCATGTTTGAAATGCTGTCTGGGTAGTGTAAAGAGATGTGATACCTTGCAAAAAGGGAGGAAGAAGCCAGAAGAGGGGGGCTGTTCCTGGAAAGCCCTTAAGTTTTCCTAGAAAAGTAGAGAATCATCCACAAGGAAATCTTTGTCCTCTGCTGTGGCACCCAGAAAAGTAATAAAGCAGCCAAACTGCTCTTTGTTTCAACAGGGAATTGTCGCTGCGGCTCGTTCGAAAGGAGAACATAAACAAAAAGTCTTCTTAACAGTCTCCTTTGGGGGAATCAAAATCTTCGATGAAAAGACAGGGGTAAGTAAAATAATCATGTGATGGAACGAAATTGAATCTTTTCATGGGTATTTCTGTAAAAGCATTTCCTGCCTGGGCAGTAATGTCTCACCAGTGTAAGCACACCTGAAGCAGCATCTGACAAGCTTGATAAAGGGTTATCATATATCAGAGCAAGCCTTTAGATAACTGAGGTGTAAAGTATAGGATGGGGACGTGGTTTATTGTAAAGCCTTGTCCTGGGTACTTCTGCAGAGCCATTTACTTCAGTACCCAGATGCTCCTTACATCCATAAACACTCACAGTTCTGAGTCCAGAAAGTGGCAAAAAGGGATTTGTTTTCCTTCTGCCAGATATAAAAAAAAAATACTTCTTGGAAATACCAGCCCCCTGTTTTTAGCAGCCCCTGGCACAGACCATGCCCAGGTAGGTTTTTTCACCCAGCCCTGGGCCAAACTGCCCTAGTCCTCTGGATGCTGCTTGAGACTCCTCAGTGACTTTTGAGAGTGTGATAATAAGGGATTAGGATTAGAGGTTAGGATTGTCTTGGATTGGGCCCCTTGTGTCATGGGGAAGCCAAGGGGAAGAAAATAAGCTGGAGCAGGGACAACCCCAGGAGAGTGAACCTTGTTTCCCCCTCTGATGCCTGAACTAACACTTAGCTGGGATTGCCCTGGAGATGTCCCAGGGGAATCCTAAGATTATTTCAGATCCGTACTTCTACGTGAACATAGTCATAGTCATAATGCTATATAATCTCATTAACAGCAGTGATGATCTTCTGTGAGGCACACCATAACCATAAGAGTCAGAGCTTTTGTACCATCAATGGTAGAAAAAGTATATATTGTGTGGAATTGGGGGTAAACGATATTAAAAAGGTTTGAGTTGCTATTTGAGATGGCCAAGTGGCAACTTCTCCAGTAGCATCTGATTGAGGAAGTTGCAGGAGACTTTCATGCCTTACACAGTTTTTGCCACAGCAATATCATGTTTGATTTTTTAAATTGCTCTGAAAGAAGAAACCTAAGCAAAACATTATACTACTTAGATATAAAGCGACAACACACAAACTGTTTTAATCCTAATTAAGAAGATTTTTACAGCAGTTTAAGCTCTGCCTTGAATTTTAAAAAGCTCTTGATTTAATCTTTTGAAAGATTAACTATTTAACATGATGCCAGAAATAAAACCCTACTGATGATAGATGAAATTACCTTTGCCGGTTAATTTATATTATTAGAAAATCAATGTCATTGAGCTCGCTGATACATAATACAAGCAGTTAGTAATGAAAAGCTCATTTGGAATGTGTTGTGTACAGCATGTGGAAAGTATTCATACAAAAGCAGTGTTTAAGAGAACATGGCTGAGGTTACAGTCTGTGCTCAGAAGATAGGAAATGTCAGAATTAGTGCTGCCTGTGCAGTTGTGGTTGGGTCATCTAATAAATAGATATTAGGGGAGTATTTAAGTAAGTATGTGATGACATACCTTTTTTTGACTGGAGAATGCCAGCTTTGCTCAGTGTACAGAACAGTGTAATACACCAAACAATATGGTAATATTTTGTTTTCTTCATCATCTGCAAATTGAACTGAGACCACAGTTACTTCCCTAAGACTAAAGTCTTTGTCTTGGGGAAGTAAAGAAGAAAGAGAGAGATATGTGTTCCGTGGCACTTGTCTCTGCATGTTTCAAAAACATAGGATTTACTTTCATAAAATAAATAGGGAAAAGAGGCTATGTTTGGAAACCAAGGTGTGGTTGAGCCAAGTTGACTTTCCTGCAGTGTCCTGTACACCCTCCACTTTGTAACTAGTGAGGTGGGGACATGAGAACAAATCTTCTTCATTTCATAACTTTGACACCCTGTACTCTAAATCTGACATAACTATATCATTCTTATAGTAACCCTGTCACTCACTCACTGAGGCTTAGACTGAAACCTTTAAATCCACCTTCCAGACGTCTGCCCCTGAGCTGCTGGAGTGATGGACAGGAGTATTGAGTTGTCCTTCTTGAAACAGGGCTGTGACAGAGGGATGTAGGGAGCCTTCAATATCAGTTTTTATGTGCTGTTTTTGTGGGGTTTTTTTGCAAGCAGGAGAATCGTGCTTTCCATGCCAAGCTTTTAAAGCAGGGGTGCTCTGCTGGTTCTTCACAGGCATCATCCCTTCGGCTTTTTCCCTAGCTTGGGTCTCTCAATGTCATAGAATCATGGAATGGTTTGAGTTGGAAGGGACCTTAAAGACCATCGAGTTCCAACCCCCTGCCCTGGGCAGGGACACCTCCCACCAGACCAGGTTGCTCCAAGCCCCATCCAGCCTGGCCTTGAACCCCTCCAGGGATGGGGCAGCCACAGCTTCTCTGGGCAACCTGTTCCAGGGTCTCACCACCCTCACAGGAAATAATTTCTTCCTGATCCAAATCTATGGCAAAAAGGTTGTGTTTTGCTCACACAGATCTTCTGGTACTGAGTTTATAAAATTTGGAGACTGATGTTCACATGTGTGCAACAGGGAGAAGAATATGCCCATTATAATAGGGAGCAGCCTGGCTAATCTTGCATTTACTTTCCCTTCTTTTAACTGCCCTCCCTGTCCCCCACAATGCTTTGTCCTGTAGTTGTGTTTCCATGATTTTGGAATTCCCAAAAGGATAATTCTGGGGCTGCAGTGTTCATTTATTGCTTATTTGGAAAGGTTATATACCTCTCTAGAGTGTCCTTTCTTAATTTTCATCATTGGCTATTGCTATCATGTCTGGCACGACGGCAGTCTGATGTGATAGAAAAGAGAAAAAATATTCTGAAAAAATGTAGGCTTCTGTATGTTTAGTATCTTGTAGACTGCTATTGGATTTTAATTTATTACAATAAAAAATCAATTTGTAGCTCAAAACTAGCAAATTTTTTAAAATTGGCAGTGTCATAGCTGACTTCATACAGATGATTTAAGGGAATTGCTCCATAATTCATTACAAATGAAGGGCTGTAGTTGGGTTACTACTGAAAATGATAAGCAAGGTTTTTTTTTCCCCCTGTACTTTATAGCTCTCCTTAATACGTTCCAGACCTAATATTCATCAAAAAATATTGATTGTAATAATGGTGTTATTCCAGCCATCAGGAATTCTACCCTTTGAGTAAATTTATCCATGAAGGAGATCAGGTTGAGGGTGGAATATCATTTGGGAAGAATTTATCTCGGCGAGAAAAAACACAAGAAAGATTTGCTGTGAGTTTGCACTGTAGATGCAATACAATTTAGTTCATCTATAGCACTGTGATAGAAATAATAACACTCCTCTCTCATATTTCATCATTCTGTTCCATTCCATTCTAATCTAAATAAGTCCCTCCAGACCACTTTTCAAATACTTGTCAATGTATTCAGAACATGATACAAGGGCCCTGTAGGTTGCATATACTCTTATATAGACTCTCTCAGCTGCTGGAGGAGGCTGCTCACATGGGCAGAACACCACCAATGGTTCTGCTGTTAAAGTCCTGACATTATCTGTACAATCCAAAATTATATTTAATTTGACTAACAAGATGTTCTGCTCTCGTACAGCAAAATTTGTTATTACACATGGGGTTTGACCCTAATTTTTTCTTATAAATGCACCTTTTTTGTCTACTGTTGTAGATAATATTGGCCATCCATCCCATTTACCTTCTCCAGAATATGTTTGCCAAATATATACCTGAAGAAAATACATTAATTTCTTTTTAACATAAAAAAATCTACCACAATTATTACTAAACCCAGACTTTTTCTACCTAAAGCAACTTCAGAGATTTCTTGGCTGCATAGTATAGGGAAATAATTTTTGATCATTTGTTCTGTCATATTCCTCCTGCACCCTGGTGACATCTCAAGACGTGATCTTTCAAACACAGTATGGCACAAGCTGAAATATATTCTTCATTAGTAGACTTTCATGAGAGTTTTTTTTATATTTTTAATGGCATGGTCCGTAGAAGGCGGAATTGCAAATCGCTGTGTTGTGCTATTTAATCCTCTCCTTTTCAGGGTGGAACTTAGTGGTTAATGTGTTCCTTAGAAAGTGACAAAACCCGTAACTCTCAATACAGCAGGATATGCAAAATTTTTAAAGGACCATCATTGTTCGTTAGCTATTTATGAGTATTATTTTGTTAATCACACACATCAGGCTATCTCCCTGTGATAGCTTAGTAATGCTTCATTAGACGTGCATGACTAATATGGCCTCCTTAAAGAGCCTGTAATTGTCTCGTTGTTTATTTATGTAACAATAAATCTTTGTTTACTGTAGGTTACTTTCTGAAAACGTATTTAAAAATAATAATTAAATTCTGTCAAATACTTAGGAAAACATTTTCTTCTACACTCATGTAATGAGGTATACTTTTAAACTCTTGTTCTTTCTAATTGCGAAATCCTGTTGACTTTAATGGAAAACCCAGGCGCTGTGAAAGAGAAATAAGATGAAAGAAAAAAAAAAACCAACTAGTATTTGGCTTTAAGTAAAGAATTATTTCTATTAAAGTGGGTTTCATTTGCATTGTCTATTATATACTTTGGAGAGACTGAAAGACTCAGTCTTTCAGAGATGTTGACCCATATATTTATCAAAATACAGAGCTTGGGCACAGCCTGTGGGATTGTAAAATTTCTAGGAATACTGTAAGTGTCTGATTGGGTTAGAGTATTGCAGAGAAATATTGCAGTCCGTTACTCATGGTTTATTAATTTAATTTGTAGCCAGTTTCTTCAGGCTGTCAGTATGAAATCCAGGAAGGAAAACTGTATGTATAAATATATATATTTCATGTTGACTATATATTATTATTCTCATTGTCCATCCCTTACTCTAACCTTTATTATCTTTGAGGAGGATTATGTGACTCTCATGCTGAGCAGGGTTTAGCTATGGGAGAAGGTGTTACTCAGTGAATAACACCTCCTTATTCTATGGAAGTGGGACCAGACCTTACCTGTGGTAAGGTCATATAACTAGTGATTGTGCT